CGGCCACGCGCACGATGATGGACATCATCTTTTCGAGGCTCTCCGGCGTGAGCGAGACGATGGCCGCGTCGTCAGCGTAGAGCATGTCCCACAGGGCCTCTGCGACCGTCACCATCATCGCCTTCTTCCCCGCCGACCTGCCCCTCTTGCCCGTGCACTCCACTCGTGTTGCGATCTTGATCATATCCGCCGTCACCTTGGGGTCCTTGTCGAACTCGGTCACTGCGACCATGCGCATCGCGGCAGAGAACAAGTTGAACAGTGGTTGTTGCTGTCTTCACATTAAACTCGTGTCAGTTGCTAATCCCAAAATCTAGCAAAAGCCCGAGTACATGGCCGCATTAGTGCTATTAATAGAGCCATCAGAAGATCTAAAGAACACGCCCACAACGAGGGGGTGCACAAGCCCGAAGAGGTTGCGTTCTTAAAAAACATCAAGTGTGTCACCAGATTCATCTTATCTTGCGAAAAATAATTTACGCGCGCAGGAAACTACATTATTTTCGAGATATCCCCTCGCACAGGACGGTAGCATTAATAGTCGAACGTGCAAAGATCCGACAAAGCCACGAGTCCAGGAGGCCTCGCCATTAGGATGAGGAGATGAGGCCGTTTTTTCCAGGGTACACCTCGGGAATATTCCCGCCGTTTTTTTCCCGCCGTGGTGGGCGGTCCCGGTACTGGCGGGAATTACCACCACATTCGGGTGGTACCGGGAACCGCCGAAGGCGGTACCGCCGAAAAACGAAAAACCGCCGACCGCCTAAAAAATACCGCCACTTTGCAGTACCGCCGAAAAAGTACCGCCGAAAAAACGAAGTACCGGGAACCGCCTAAAAAGAACCGCCATATTGCAGTACCGCCGAAAAAGTACCGCCACTTTGCAGTACCGCCGAAAAAGAATCGCCGAAAAAATGAAGTACCGGGAACCGCCAAAAGACAACCGCCATATTGCAGTACCGCCGAAAAAATACCGCCGTACTCCAGTACCGCCAAAACGGTACCGCCATACTACAGTCTTGCCTTCTAGAGTAGCATAGGGCACTGTCTTCGACGCCATTTCGCGCAGATCAGTGGTTCGAGTCCAACTGGCGTGCGTCTTTGTTCACGTTTTTTCTTTTTTCTTTTTCTCTTTCGTCATACACGCACTCTTCTCTTTTTGCATTTTCTTTCTTCTTTAGGTTGCCTTTCGTTTGTCCATGAACAGCTCGATTTGACCATGGGTATGCATCGCATCGTGAAATCACGAAATCATATGGGAGATGCAGGCTCTCAAGCGTACATACAAGAGACAAAAAGCGACCCATCCTGAAAGAGAGGAAAGAGGTTCGCCGGTTGATGGGGCGCCAAGGGCACCGAAATGTAGTTTGGCATCGCCATATTTTATGTTTTATATTTTATCTTTTGATATTCTGGTCTACTCGCAACCCTCGAAGGCGGTGCCGCCATATTTCAGTACCGCCACCAAAAAACCGCCATATTTGGCAGTACCGGGAACCGCCGGAGACGGTACCGCCATATTTCAGTACCGCCAGGAAAATACCGCCGAAAAAACGAAGTACCGGGAACCGCCAAAAAAATACCGCCACTTTGCAGTACCGCCAAAAAAGTACCGCCACATTCGGGTGGTACCGGGAACCGCCAAAGGCGGTACCGCCGGAAAACGAAATACCGCCAACCGCGAAAAAAATACCGCCACTTTGCAGTACCGCCCCGCCTGGATCCGCCTAAAAAACTAGTACCGAGGTGTACCCTGGTTTTTTCCCTAGTTTGTCAGTATCACCCAACGAATCAATTTTGTCAGCATGACCTAAATAATCCGTTTTTTACCCTGCCTTCCTTCCTGGGTCAAGTGGACGAAATCAAAAACAACACACGACAAGCTCCAAAAAATGATCTCAAGATTTGACACACTGACACGTCGTCTGAGAAAACAGGGAAGTTCTTCTGCTTGCTGGTGCTGCCGTTCATGCTGACCGCCTTCCTTTTTGTTTTTGGCCTTGCCGCTCCATTTCACACAAACAGGATTGACATTCATTTTGATACAAACGGACTGCTATCACCCTCCCGCCTGCTACTGCTGTGTACCCCGATCCCCTCTCATGCGTTTCGTTTCACCATGACTCATCACACAAGGTGATCAATGTCGCATTGTAGATTTCAAAATGAGCGAGAAACGGCTTGCTCGAACCACCAACTCCTGCTTTTGAAAAAAAAAAAAAAAATCAGATTCAAAATACAGCTTTCTCTGACGCTATGACGTCATTGCCAATCTATCTTAGACTCGTTCCTTAGATTGAGATAGATTCGTTGGGTCATATTCAAAAAGTAAAAAGGAGATTCAAAATTTCTATCAAACGCCACGCCGTGTTCCCTGTGAACGCCACATTTTCCAGCACACGGCATACTGGAGGTCTTCTCCCCTATAATTTGTCGTTGACCCAGCGGATAGCACAACATGTACTCCTATGCAGATGCCTTTGTTGCTAGCACCAGCGGGCATCTCTGATACAACTCAGTGTGCAGGCTTAAACAAACTCAAAACAAGCCCAGTTTCCAGCCGGTTTCCCTCCACTCACTGAAAAGGCGTCAGCACACCCCTCTCGACTGTGGTTGTATCTCGAACGGGTAGGGTCTGTGAGGTTATGATTGTTTTCTTGAACTACAACAGTCACATTCGCTTGTGTCCCTCGCCTCCAGACTAGATAGTTTTTTGGGACGCGTCTTCCTTTTTTGCGTCTCTGTCGTGCAATGTACGCAGCATTTTGTCCCCGATTTCGTGCGGTTCTCGTCTATAGTAGGCGATACTCTTTAGTGATGGCTTTTTGTGGACCAACACAACATGGTAGAAAATCGAAGTTACCGCACTCGCTCCCCCTCCAGCCGCGCACGAAACAGCTTTGTGGTGTCTATCTTGTTTACGTGCGCCACACCGCTGACCACGTTTATTGTGTAGACACTGCCAGTCCAGAAAATCACACCTCGCTAGTGTATCATACCAATCCGAGAGAATTTTCCATTCTTTCTCGCTGGTACACGAGAATCGACTGACACCTGCGGGTTTTGTATTGTACGCAGGAGCTATTTAGCATGTTATTGTGTCTAACGGATGTATCATATTTTTTGTCTTCACCCATGTATGATTCTTGCCGCCGGGAGAGCAGGAGAAAGTCAACGAGCGGGGCGGCAGCCGCAGTCGCGCTCGCGGGCCTCGTCTCCCGACCTTCCTCCGCCGCTGCTAGTAGCCCGCGCAGGGAGGGATCGCGAGGCAAGCCTCGAGACGTCGGCATATTTCGGGGGCGACAGCGTCCACCGCCACCGGCAGCACCTCCCCCCCCCCCCCCCCCCCCCCCCCCCCCCCCCCCCCCCCCCCCCCCCCCCCCCCCCCCCCCCCCCCCCCCCCCCCCNNNNCCCCCCCCCCCCTCGAACTTCTTCCTCTCGCAGCGTTGGAAGCGGAAGCGGAAGCCTTACCGGCGGAATGTTGCCTTCTTCCACGGTGGGCGGATCAGCGGGGGACCAGCCGCCTCATCCGCTGCGTCAAGACGGGATGAATGTCACGGCGGCGGCGGCGGCGGCGGTGGCAAGCAGCGGCCCGGTGGGGAGGGGGCATGGAGGAGATGTCCCCGCCATGCCCCCGACACCTTCCAGCACCACAAGTAGCGGCGGCCACAGCAGCAGGAGCGGCGTCCGGGGGGGGAACGTCAACCTCGGGGGCCGGTCGGTGTCGCCGATAGGGAACGGCAGGCGGAGGCAGTCCCCTCTGGCCAGGCCCCTGGGGGGAAGTAGCAGGGGTGGCGGGGCTGGGGCGGCTCCGAGGGGTGCTCAGTTCGCGTCTGCCATGCCGCACGGGCTGACTGTGCAGGAACTCAAGGAGTTGACCAAGGTGGTTTTCAGAGTTGCTTTTGTCGCAAGCACGCCTCTTGTGCTTGCAATCTCACTGCGATGACTCCAACACATCCCCTTCGCCTATGGCATTATTTTTTCGAGAACGTTATTTGCATATATGGGCGTCGGCCGTCCGTCATGGTCCCTTGGCGGTTGTTTGTTCTTGTGTGCTAGCGATTGCCGTTGTTGGTGCGTCTTGTTCTACTGTACGGCGATCGATTGGTTTGAAGGTTGGGGACCTCTCCCTCTCCTCCTCCCACGGTGCTCCATCAATCACACACACACACCCGTTCAACGCCGCGCACCCCCCGCCGGAGGGAATCTCATAATGAGCGCGTCTTCATGTTCATGCTGTCCATCCTCCTAGAAAAGAGTTGGGGTTCAGGGTCAGGGTCAGGGATAAGAATACGAAGCTCTCCCCATCCCGTAGATTAATTCGACAATGTCGCTAAGGCGATCCGGTTGTATCGACTCCCCGGGTGAACCATCTATCCGCGAAGGCAGGCAATACACGAGTACCCCCCCCGCCCCCCCTCCTCTTCCGCAGATGCGTCTCGCGAGGGAGGCGCTGACCGCCCCGGCTCCGCCTGCCTCCTCCGCCCTCCCGGGAACACAACAACGGAATAACCCTGGCTCCGATGGCGGCCTTGGCGACTTCGGCCGAGGGCGGGCTATCTCGCCGGCCCTCAGCGGCGACCTTGGGCGGCCCCGCGGAGGGCACGCGGACAGCCGGAGTCCGGTGCCTCGCTCGAGCCCTTCCACTCCGGGCGTGGAGGATCGGCCGCATCGTCGCACCCGGCGGGGTGGGCGGCGGGGCCGTAATAGGTGACAAGTTGTTGTTTTTTAATCGCAGCAGCGGAGGGGGGTGCAATAGTTGTTGAGGGTCGGTTCGACGGGGCGGTGCGGGAGGGCTATCCACTGCCCCTGTGTTCGGCACGGCGCCGTTGCCGGTCGAAGTCTCAAGTGCTGCGCTACAGCCTGTCGTATCTTGGGTCCTTTACCTGTGTTCTGTGGGGCCGCCAACGGATATTCAAGTAGCCTCTTACCCGTCCTTATCCGTAGCCGAGGTGTGGGTGCGGGTGGCACAGGTCGCCCGTGGTCTGGTTTCCTGAAACGCTCTCGAAGACACCGCCACCTCGCGCTCGTGGGCGTAGCCGTAAGCAAACCCCACCGCGCCGCCTGCCGATCCTGTTGTCGAGAGCAGGTCGCCTCGTCCCAACGGCCAGTACTACTCCCCCAAGCTTGGCGACGAAGACAGCCACCAACACCGCGACCTCCGGCACCACCTCTACCACGATGGCTACTCTAGCGCCAGCCCTTCCCCTAGGATAAGGCGGGGCATGACGGACCCCTGGGCCTACGCCGACGACGATCAACACCTTCGCTCGTCCTCGCAGCCGCGGGCGGTGAGCCGGGACGATAACCAAGTGACCCCCCTAGAAGTGAGCGGCGGTGGGTCGATTGGTCCGGCTCCCGCTGCGAGCGGGGTCGGGAGGGAGGGCGACCCGGGCGGCGGTGAGCGGGGGTCGACGGAAGCAGAAGCAGCTGCAGCAGCTGAGAGGTTGTCTGCCATCAGCAGCCCGGACCTGACTCTCGAGGCCAAGGGCCACCCCACTTTTGGCGGCAGCGGCGACGGCGCTGGTTACGGAAGCCCGCACGGCGGAGGTTCAGGACGAGGTCGACCTAACCAGCAGCAACCGAGCACTATGCTGCCGGAAGCAGCGTCCAGTTCCTCTGGCCGGCGCCCTGTGTCCATGCCGTTGCCATCGGCCGGTGGCAGCGGGCAGTCGTCGTCCCTCTTGATGGTGGGAGACGAGCTCTGGGCGCAGGAGTTCAGAGACCTGCGGAGGCAGGGCGGCGCCGCTGGGGGCGGGCGTGGGTCTGCTGCGGATGCCGGGATTTCCGCTGGCGATCACCATGACCGCGGCGGAGGGCGGGACGGTGACCCGCTTGAGCGGGCGGCGGGTGGTTGGTCCGAGGATCGACCGCGGTCGTTGCATCACCTCGACCGTGGGCAACTCGCGGAGGAACGCCGGCGTTTCGCGGAAGACCAGGTGCGTTCACGTTCGGAGCACGTTTCTCAGCCCGCGCACGCTCTTTTCCCTGTTGTTTCAGAACACCCCAAGGTCCAGAGGACGGGTATCAACTACCTTAGTGCACGGAGTTCCCATGCACGTCGGTCCCCACGACTCAGCTAAGATTTTGTGGAAGCGTTTTGTACCCGAAAAACATGAAGCCTGGCTCGGAGGGGGACTTTTCCCTCGCCGGCAACTTGTACCAGTTCATGAGAATACGAGTCACATTTTGGCGGCTTCAGTGCTGCTGCTGCTTACTGATGAGTTTGCAATGAGAACCCACGGTTTGTGTCGATGGTCCCACGCATCCGCTGCTACATACCAGTTCGCCGTACACCTTTCCACCATAACCCGATTGATCCCCATCCCCCAATGATTTCGCGGGACTCAGGTTCGAGAGAGGGGTCCCGGCGGTAGCACCGCCCGCGTCCACGGCATGATCGGCGGCGAGCGCTTGACCCCCCTCAGTGGGTTCGAAGAATTAGACGCCAGCGCATCGCACGCCCGGCGCTTCTACCAGGAGCAGCAGCACCAACGGCAGTACCACCCGCACGCCTACCCTCGCATGCAGCGGGCGAGGAGCGATGGCCTTGTGAGTTCTAGCCACCACGCTGGCCGCGGCGGCAGCGCGAAGCTCCAAGAGCGCGACGACTTACATTACGACGGTGTGCAGCAGCACTGCCGCCACAGCGGCTACTCCCGGGGATCGGACGGGAGCAAGCCGCCGCCGCCGCCGCCGCCGCCGTCCGAAATGGGCGACCGCTACCACCAGCAGCAACCCAATCCGCACTGGCGGTATACTAGCCGGAGCCATACCCAGCAGCACCAGCAGCACCAGCAGCAGCACCACCGCCACTCGGATGGTGCTGATGTCGGCGCCCCCGGCGACGGGCCGCGGAACACCGGTGCGGGCAGCAGCCGCCACCTCCCCGCCCAGCAGCAGCAGCAGCAGCAGCAGCAGCAGCAGCAGCTGCCGCAGCTCGTGTCTCGCAGGAGCGATGGGGGAGCGGTCGTCTCGTCCGCGGCGTACCACCGCGATGCGGGGAGACTGACCGTCGGCAACGGGAGTGGTGGGGGCGGTGGGGGCGGGTTTGGTGGGAGGGAGGCGATGTTTGGGGGACATGGAGTCAGCTTGGTGCGGGGGGCGGGGACCACCGGGGGCGTGAGGCACGGGTCGCCGCCGTCGTTCGCAGAAGGCGACATCTCTCTTAATGCGAGTGCTTTGAGCTGTTTGCCTCCTGTGTACCATTCTGTTCTCTTGGGGCTAGTTTTCGATGGGGGCGGGTGGGGTTTTCGCCAATGAATCGCAGGAACATTGGTGGAGTTCCCGTGCACTTCTACTTTTTATGGTACATCATGCATGCATTTTCCGACAATTTGTTGCTGCTTCGGCTCGGGTTTGTCTGGCGGAAGGAATGTTTGTCCCCGCGCATATTTCCTTCGGCGGGGCTCGCAGAAGGCTCGTCAGTGCATTGCCGCGCATGCCCGAAGCTCGCCTCCAGGCGCCCGTGGCACATCTGCTCGACATGTGCCTCGCTGTGGTTTCACCGCATACGTGCGCTCCCCACATCGGTATTTACAGGTGGCGGAGTCTGTTCTGGTGACGCCGAGAACCGCGGCTGGCGGGTCGCGGAAGAATGCCGCCACCAGCACCCAGGAAATCGCAGCAGGAGCGGCAGAGGCGGCGGCGGTGGTGCCTCCGTGGAAGGGGTCCCAGGCCGGACACTCACAGCAGCAGCGGCAGGTTCGTTTCATTTGTCGACGATGGCACGTATAAACAGGGCTGCTTCATCTGAAGCTATCTCATTTTATTTTATTTTATTTTGTGAGCAGTGGGATTGTTTTTATCGCAGCAGCTCTCCTCAGGTGGGTTACGGTGTGTTCACGCTCGCTGCGCTTGTCCGTTAGCGTGGGTCGAGCTTGGCAGTGACAATCCACGCTGATGATTGTTATACCGACGAGCAACTATTTTGCATGATGAACCCTCTCCCGACCCTTTGCCGCTCGTCTCTTGCAGTACTCAAACGCTTCCCCGCACCCCTTTCACGCCACGGGAGACACCCGCGGCTCCGAGGAGGGTGGTGGCAGCGACGGCGGTGGCCACCCCCTCCACACCCCTGGCGGTGCTCGGCACGATAACAGCGCGGCTGCAGCCGCCCCGACGTTCCGGCGTAAGCACGAGGACGCCCGCCCAACGTCCACCACGGCGAATCGCGACAGCAGAATCAACCACCAGACCGGTGGGTATCCCGGATGGAGCAACGGCAGCGACGGGGGCGGAGGGTTCGTGCCTGGAGGGGCTGATTGCGGAGGCCGCGCGTCCCCGCTTAGCGACAGCCCTCTTGTTACCGGCCTCTCGTTCCCGCTCGAGTTGGCCGGGTATGGCGGCGGTGGCGGCGGTGGTGCCCGGGTGTTCGGCAGGACGGGAAGCGAGGGTGCTCTGAGCGCGCATGGTAGCGGTCCCGCCGCCGCCGCCGCCGCCATTTTCTCCGCTACCCGCAGCGAGGGGAAGGCCGGGAGCGACGACGGTAGGCAGGGGACGGCCGCCGCCGCCGCCGCCGGCTTCACTGGCAGCGCGGCCGGCGAAGGCGCGGGTCCAGGATTCGCCTCCGGCTTGTTTGGCCTGGACACGGTCGGCGGCGGAGTTGGGATCGGGTCCTCGCCGTCGTCTCACAACAGCACCGGTCCCGTGGATGCTGCTCCTGCGATGATGCCGCAGCAGCTCAACCTCGGCCGTGGCTTCGGCGGGGGCGGCGGCGCAATTGGCTCGGGAATGGACCCGCCGCTCCGCGCGGACACCAACAGCCTGTTTTCGCCGTTCGGACAGCGGGGGAGTGACGGGGGCGGCGGCGACGTGGTGAGTTTGTGTTATTGTTGTTGTTGTTGTCTTCACATTATCATCCGTTCCGGTCTCCACTCAGTACCTTCTAATGTCCGTACTGGTCCAACTGACGCGGGCGCCTTCCGTGGTCACAAGCCTTCTGTCCCCCCCCCCCCAGGTCGGGACCAGGCCGGATCTAGAATCATAGAAGGGTGGGAAAAGCTGGTAAACACAACGGCAAGTAGAGTTCTCGGTAGAAAGCTGACAGTTTGTAAGAGAGCAGTGAAGTGGTGGGACGAAGAAATCAAGCAAGCAATTCGAGTACGTAAAGAGTCACACGCAAAATATGCGGCAGGGAAAACCGAAGCAGGATGGAAGGAGTATATTGAAAATAGAGAGAGGGTGAAGGAGTTGGTGGTGAAGAAGAAGAAAGCGTTGTGAGAGGAAGTAGTCCAAAAGACTAACGAAGATTTTGAGGGGGGAATGAAGCAAATGTGGGTAGGAATCCAAGGAATAGTGGGCAAGAAAAGAGGGGGAGACACGGGAATAGCGACACTACGATCTGCCGAGGGTAAGATGGTAAGCAGTTCTAAAGGAAAGCGGGAAGTACTAGTAGAGCACTACCGCAAACTTGGGACATCCACCACCAACGACAACTTCGACTCGGAGTTTGAGAAGGAAATCAACTCGTGGGCAGAGGAAAACGTTGAAAGATCTCGGATGGAATGTAGTAATGTAGGCGGGTTGCCGGGAGAGTTCACACGAGAAGAGGTAAAGGACTGTGTAGCGAAACTCAAGAATAGAAAAGCGGCAGGGGCTGATGGAATTGTGAATGAGCTTTTGAAACAGGGGGGGGGGGGATGATTAACATGTTGGTCCGGATATTCAACTGGATATGGAAACACGAGTACGCGCCGAAGAGATGGAGAGAAGGAATAGTCGTGAACCTGTTCAAAAAGGGGGATAAAACTGACCAGAGGAATTATAGAGGGATAACCTTGCTGAGCACAGTGGGGAAACTCTTTGGCAAGATGATAAACAATAGAATGGGAGACATGTTGGAGGGGAAACAAAAGATCAGCGAAGGACAAGCTGGATTTAGACCAGATCGTAGTTGTGTAGACCAGGTATATACGTCGAGTAAAATTATCCAAGGTAGGAAAGACGCCGGGCGTACGACATACTGTTTCTTCCTAGATGTACAAAAAGCCTACGACACCGTTTGGCGCAATGGATTGTGGAAAAAGATGTGGGACATAGGGATCCGGGGGAAAATGTGGAGGATGTTGAAAAAGATGACAGAATGCACAAGAAGTGCAGGGATGTTGGATGGGGAAATCTCGAAGTACGTGGATATACTCCAAGGAGTCGCACAGGGCTGTACGATGTCACCCACTCTTTTCAAGATTTACATCAACTACTTGATAAGGGCGGTTGAAGCAGTAAGACAGGGAGTCCAAGTAGGGGGAAAGAGTGTGTCCGGACTGATGTTTGCAGATGATTTCGTGGGGGTATCCGAAACACCAGAAGGGTTGCAGGAACAAATAGATGCGGCAGTAGGATACACCCGAAAATGGAGACTGTCGGCGAACGTAGGAAAATGCGCAGTAGTGGTCTGTAACTAAGACAAGAAAAATCCCGTAGAATTCAAATGGAAATGGGGGGAGGAAGAACTACCGGTAGTAGACAGGTATACGTACCTGGGAGTAGAGATTTCGAAGGAGTGCTCATGGGACGCACACATAGCAAAGTTGATTGGGAAGGGTAAAGCTCAGATAGGCAAGATGGACGAGATCCTTACGGACCCACACCTAGACACTAGGATTAAGAGGTGTGTTCTCTTGAATGTGATTGTACCTAAGCTAGAGTATGCAGGAGAGGTATGGGAAGGGAACGAAAAGGCCGTAAAGCAGCTGGAAACGGTGCAGATGGCAGCGGCCAAGAAAATACTAGGATGTTCAAGTACAACGAGCAACACTGTATTGAGAGCAGAACTGGGAATGTACTCTCTTAAAACAAAGAGAGACATGCAAAAGTTGAATTGGCAGTACAAGGTAAGTAGAATGTCGGACGATAGACTACCAGCCATGGTTGACAAGGCAGCTTGGGGAAAAGCGACTCCAGGGAAGAAAGGAATCAGATGGGACAAGGTGGTAGAGAGGGTTTGGAAGGAGATAGGAAACGAGGAGGAGACATTGGACACGGAAGGGTTCGGGGGGTTCAAGAAGAAAGTCAAGGAGATGCTAGAAAGTAGGGAGGAGGCAACCCTTCGGAAGAAGGTACGAAGCGAAGACCACTCGGAGATATACGGGACGTTGAAAGAAGGGATAGGGATGAAGACTTACTTGGACGGCCCCATGGACTACGCAAAAAAACTGAAGCTGCAATTTCGAGTAGGCGATCTGGACTTGCCAGAACGGAGAAAGAGGTACAGCAGCCGTAGGAGAGAGGAAGAGGAGGCTAGACAGACATATCCATGTGGCAAATCGGAGGGGAGTAGACCCCACATAGTTGGGGAGTGTGAGCTGTACAGGAAGGAAAGAGAGGATCTCGAGGAGGACATGAGACAGAGAGGGTGTGACATGGACAAGTTTGGTAAATTAGACAACAGCGAAAAAACGATCGCGGTAATTGGGGATAGATGGTGGGCACAAGAGGCCGTAGAGGACGGGGATAACATGTGCAACGAATTTTGATGTAGTTTGTGGCAGAAACGTAACGAGCTCCCAAATGTTGGTGGTGTCTCTAGTAGGGGTAGGAACGGTGCTCCGTCTCGAAAGGGACGCGTGGTCAACGGTCAAATGACTACNCCCCCCCCCCCCCCCCCCCCCCGTAGGGTTACACCTTTCTAAATATATGAACAAACAAAAATGGACACAGGGAAATTCCTCCAAGGCGCGATTTGTTATCTGACCGAAAAGAGATGCACACTAAGGCAAACTATATTCGGGATGTGCACGGGATAGAAATCGCTACCGTAACTCGCTTTTTGTCCTCGTTGGACTGCCGGGTAGAATCCGTGTGTCTCGTCGCCATGCGCGCTTTTTTCTCTACTCATCATGCCAATGACCGCGATCTAGAGTGCGGCCACGAGCAATCTACCCCAAAACGTTGCTACAGCAACGATGTTAACCCGCAGTTTTCCCTGCTTGTGTGGCCGAGCAGATGCGCTCCGGCCACCGTCAGAGCAGCAGCGTCTCCTCGACTCCCGGTGGGGGGGATCGCGGCGGGGCGGTAGGCGGCGGCGGCGGCCCCGTCAGCGCCATCGGAAGCAGCCGCAACAGGGCGTCCAACCCGGCAGCTGGTGCCGATGCCGATAGTTCAGCCAGCCCTTGATGCCGGGAGCGGGGTCTGGTCGGGCTTGATTGACCTCTTGGGTGCGCCCGAAACGCGGTAGCGGCGTAGTGGGGTTTTCGCGTGGTTCATGGCGGTCGACGCAGGCGGTGCCCGGGAAGTCATTAACGATGACTGGCCCCAGTCTCAACGTTAGTTGGCCACGTCTGGAGTCCGTGGGAAGATCGTGAAACCGCTGCAGCCCATTGAACTTGAAGCCGGAGGGGCAGTCAAGTGTTCCTCTGTGTTGTTTTTTTTGGGGGTGGTTGTAGAGGCGGCACGGGAGTGTTTCACGCTCGTCTCTTTTGCACTTGCCGGATCAGTTTGGCGTGCATGCCACGTTTGGTGATGAAGACCAAGGAAGGCGGGTATACTTTTTTGGTTGCTTTTTGTTCCGTGTGTGGCAACGTGTTCCGGGGAGGAACGCTGAAGTGTTGGAGAGAGGAGTGGCGTGTGGAGTCTGTGGGTCTTGTTTTTGTTGCTGCTGGTTGCTGGAGTGCTTGTTTGTTTGGCACGAACGACTTGCGCCGTTGAGGAATCAGCAACTGAAAGAGGCGAAGCTGAACATAAAGGTTTCTTCTCAAGGTTTCTTGCATTGCGCATCGCCAGTTGGGATAATTAGAGCGTTGTGCCCTGTCCACGAGAGCAATCGCATCTGTTGTGGCTCTCCCGAGCTCGGACATTTGAAGAACTGCAAGCATTGGCACCATTGTATCCTCCGTGTGGTTGATTTTTCTGCAAGCGATCCGCTCGGTCGAACGTAGCTCGTGGGAGCGAATGGGCTATCGTATGCATACAACCAAGTTGTTCTTCAGCTATGCGGACAAGCGAAGGGAAAAAATTCAGTGAAGTTTCGGTTCGTAGTTGTTTCATGGCACATTGTTGGCGTGCCGAGCGATTGTGATAGAGGCCTGTGCGGTGGGTCCTTCTCCTGCGCGGAGCTAGACTGCTGCGCCCTGCCGTCCACGTGCTTTGTTGTATTTCGTATTTGGTGCGATCTTCTCTTGTTGTGTGTGGCGTTGTGGGGGGGTTCTGGAGAGAAAAAAAGAGGGTGTGCAATGGTTAGCTCCAGTTGTGTTTACGTCGGGGTCTTCTTGGTGGCACCTTGTTTCCCCCTGGCCCTCGCCAGATTCACCTCCAAAGCGTGGGTTCATGCTATCGTCGGCGGTAAACCGGCTTCTGGTGACGGGCGAACGATGGGAGCGGTCGCATGTCGTTCACGTCAATAGTTGTTCAAGCCAGATTGTTTCAGATTGTTAAGCACCTGTTCCGTGTCTAGTACAACAGTAACCATGTCGTATTTTTTAGCGTTTTCTTGGCATTCGTCGGACTTGATGGTGTGTGTCTTCCTGTCTGCGCCGTCTCCTTCCGACGGCAGCAGTCCCTTTCCTGTCTTGCAATGGGACGCGGGGTCAGATGTTCTTGCTTATTTGCAGACCTCGGTGTCGTTTTGAATACATTATTGTTCTTCAATTTTTTATTGTGCAAGTGAGCTTGCCCAGGTTTTGCGGGCTCTTATTATTCGTTGGAGTAGCGCTGAGATACGCCAGGGCTTTCCCCATTCTCACTCCCGGTAGCATGTATGATTTGTGCCCTTTCGACTGATCCGGAGATTGACGTGTCGTGCGGCGGCTCTGGCTTCGTGGGGAGGTGGGACGATGTGAATGAATCCTCTTTTGAGAGTTTTCGGTTGGAGTCTTCAGCACGCAATGAGTGTGCGGAGCGCCCTCATTGGTCGTCTTTACGCTCGAAGGTTCTTGTTTGTTCGTATCCACCACAGCAGACAGATGGCTTTCAACACCGTTGGACTGCACAGGATGCAGTCAAGGATAACTCTTGCAGTGTTAGGATATGGCGGCGGAGGTGTGGCCCCGGCGATAGCAGCAGCAAAAGTGGTCGTTAGTTTCGCCTTGGAGTGAGTGCCCTTTGGCGAAACGTGTTTTTTTGTGACTCTAGCCCAGCGCTCTCGCTTGTGCGCGCGTCGTTATGGTGTTGGGGGCGGGTTGGCTTTGTGTTGTTGGGGGCGGGTTGGATCACCACGAAGTTACGTTAGGATCAGCTGTATCCGGAGTCGGTATCCAGAGGCGTGTGTTGCGGTGTGTCGCTTGGCGGTAGTTGTATTTTAGGCGGCTCGAGCGCAGAGCCTTGACGAAAACCGGTGGTTGCAGGCGGGGAGGGATCTGACGAACGTCTGCGTATTCTGGCCACGGTTGATCCATACATCCGCATGTGTTTGTGGTGCCTTTTATTGTGAATTTTGAAATTCCCACCCTTTTGAAAGCCATGGACGGACTAGTTTCTTGGTCGACATGTTTTCACTCGTTTTAGTTTTCGAGTCCGGGGAAATGAGTGTGGCGGTCGGCCTTTGCTTGTTGCGGTGTGTGCCACGGCACGCGAAATGTGAAAGCTAGGCCCACTGCACGGTTGGTTGCAGTAGTGTTGGTCAGGATCGTACCGCTCAGAGTCGCTCACACCTCGTTGGTACCACGGTGTGGTGTAGTCAGTCAGGTGAGATCGAGCGTCCCTCGGGCTGCCTCGACCTTGCGCTTTTGGGAATCAGATCGACCGTGCTCGTGCCCGACGCGCAGTGAAAGGTCGGTTCCTGCTGAGGGAACCCCAAGGTTGCCTGAGCGCGTGGCTGTGGGTGCCTTATCTCCTGCCGCCTTGACCTACTATGGAACCGGGCGTGGTTCGAGTAGTGAAGACGTGTGGCAATTTCTTGGCGGCATGCAGCCGTTCGCTGGCGTTTCGTCGTTTGCTTTCAGCGGAACGGCGTCGTCTCTGCTTTACAACGCAGCTTGAAGTATGACGACCGTGCTGCCCGCCAAACCTGCTCGGTGATGGTGTAGGGTATCGAGGCCTCTCCTGGCAAAGATGGAACTGATCGAACAAGCAGTTAATTCTTATTTTTTTAGTGCTGACGTTTCATGGTTGTATTTGCATAGGGAGCCCGTGTCCGTGTGTTGTTTTGGTTAGTTTTGTTCCTCGTCGTAGTTGTGCCTTAGGTGTTTGTTAGCCGCGTTGATGCATGCCTGTGTGTGTATTCCCTGTCCCTTCCTTGCAAGCTTCTACCCGATCATCCCTGTCCTGTGCACGGATCATTGGGCGAATTGTATGGAATATGTGATCTTTGTTGCCCACCATTTCCATGATGGCGGGTATGGGGAGACAGGAGATGCGCTGCATTGAGCATGGCGTGCGGTGGTGTAATGTGTTGTTTGGCAGGACGTGAAACGCACCATTCGGCCTTCTTTCGATCGTGGCACTTGCGGCGCACGTGTCGTGGAGTGCTTACGTGCGGCCTAGAATGGCAGCTGTCCTAGGCTGCGCGCCCAGCCGCGAAAGTGTTCTGTTGGTCGCGTTGGAATGGAGGGACAGGTCGCTGTGGAGCGGCTGCCCACGAACAGGCGGTGGGTAGCCTATCCTTCGCTTTGCTGGTGTTATGCCTTTCCCTCTTGCCTTTTGTGAAGGTGTTTGTGTTAGTGGTGCTGGTGGTTGTGGGACAGAGGGGAAAACCACGCAGCAGGACATGTTTGTCTACAACGAACTCGTAACGTGAGGGTCTACTTCCTTACAGTCAACGAATTGTGCAAGCAATCGGTTGGTGGATTCTGACTTTGCCTGCGAACAGGTATTAGTTTATTACAATCAGGGGGATGGTACGATCAAACGCCTGGTGGGGGTTTTCTCGCGATGTCAGCGATGTCGGCCATGCTCGTTTTTTTAGTTTTTCGTGACATCGTCGCTCGTGTGTACGATCATTACCGTTGGTGGTTTGTTTGCTTGCATTACCAACGGTTCCAAGTTTTGAGCTCGGAATTTCGGATTAATTCGCCCGGTGGCGATTCACAGGGCGATTGGGCGTCCACCGCTTTGCCACGGCGAAAGCCTTCTGGATGTGTGATGACGTCAAGCGGCGACCCCTCGGTCAACGTTCGATCACGCATACGCTAGAGCTTGATTTGGTGTTGGTATCTTCAACGTATTCTTCTGCAACGTGTGTGGGAGGCAAATTCCGAGTCTGCCGCGGATTCCGGCCGGTGGGGTGTGTGTGTGTGTGTACTCATAGTCGTGCATGCCGTAGTCGTTAGACCATTGACCTCGCATCCCTACAAAGCCGGGACGGAGCACGCCGGGTTCTCACCGGACCAGGCTCTCACATCACCAAGCGCGAAGCGCCGTGAGATATTCGGCGAGTCGCATGAAGGGTGCGCTGCATCCTGCTAAGGGTTTTCGGCACCTTGTGCTTACTTCCATGCGTACGGATGACAGCTGCGTATGACTTGATTTATTTACTGGTGCTTTCACTTCCAGAGACAGTTGTCAGCACTGTGTAACTGTCTCGAGGATGCGTGACTATTTTAACACAAAGTGGTGCGAGCATCCCCCTTGCGCGGAGTGAGGGTTCTCCACCCCGCACAACATGATCTACTCGACCACCATTATGGTTACCGCATAAAAACCAGAGGTAAAAAAAACAAACGGTACCTGGTTGCCGAGTTCACGAAGTGAATTGGCTTGTTTTACAACGTCGTTGCCAAGCGACGAAAACCCAATCGCGATGGCAAACATCGAGGGGGATTCCAGCCGGTGGGGAGGTTTTTTTCGCTGCTTGTTCGTGCATCCACCGTTTTGCAACGCCCTCCCCCCTTTCAAACGAAAGTGGGTCACGAGAAATGGTATGATGTTTACTCGGTCGGGTCGCGGCACGGTTTTTTGTCCAATCTCGGCCTTTCGAGTATGGCCAGATGTCGACGAAATCCTCAGTGCCCAGAATGGATGAGCTGCATATGCAGCGAAGACGCAGATGCCTGGGGCTAAGTATAGATAGGTAGGCTCACCTAATCCAGGAATCTCTGGGGGTGCACTTAACTACAGCAGGAATACCTTTCGAACCTCTTGACCACACCCCTTGAAACCGAGTTGATAGTATACACCCGGATCGGCGCAAGGGGGAAATGGTGCCCACAGTAGAAGGACTCACCACATTTCTCGGATCACTCTTGTACCGATCCCTTCCAACCGCTTCCTCGCAACGATACCATTTCTCGGGTCAACACGCTGTTCTCGCATAATTAGACTATCCGGTGTTTTCCCTTCGTCCATGTCGTATTGCCTCCCCCGACACACACAAACCGCCAAGACACAATCAATCGCAACTCATCTCTCTATCCCACGCCAGGAATTCGACTCAGGGGACACCTCTCCAGCCAGACTGTCAGGTGATGGTGCAAATGCGTTCACGTGATGCGTGTACGGGAGACCTTCCTGCCGAAGGTACACAGAGTGTATCACCGTTGTTTTTTCGAGATACAAGTACAAGCTGCAGGCCGCGAGGCCAGTCTTTAACGTATTCTCAGTATTGCATCGGGGGTTGGAAGTCGTCTTGGTGCGCTGCTTACCGTCGGCTCACGAACGTTACGTCTAAATCGCATGGCGGTCTGCACAAGTCTGTTTTCGATAGATTATCGTTACCCTTACTTCTCTTGCCAAGGTACAGAAAAAGGAGGCGGACAAGTCGGCGGCATGTCGTGAGCCGCCATAAATACAACCGTCAGGGCACTACTGCTGTAATCAGCGGACTAGCAGTGGAGCCACTGGCCATGCTCACCTACCAGGCGTGATCCCAGGAGGACCCGTCATCGACCAGACTGGATTTATGAAGCAGTCGAAACGCACGCAACCAAAGAACGAACAGGTGGCACCTTCCTAGGGCTCACCCTTGCTTTTCCCCCAAGCTTAAAATATTTCATATTCGGATCATGGCACGTTCTTGCTCTCCTTCGTGCTACAAGGTCATGTGGATGGCGGTACTCGTCACTTCCCTCCCATCGTCCCTCCCTCCGTCCCTCCCTACCTCCCCCCCCCCCCCCCCCCCCCCCCCCCCCCCCCCCCCCCCCCCCCCCCCCCCCCCCCCCCCCCCCCCCCCCCCCCCCAGCACTCGCCTTCTCCGCGCATGAACGATCAAGAGGACAACAAAAAACGTGACAACCGTTGAAAACGCCGTTACCGCGGCATCTATCAGTTGTTGGCATAGACTTCTCTGCATGTATAACGTAATCGGTACCCTTTACTTTTCGCGTGTCGTCGAAGGGCGCTGTGGTTGAATAGGCGTTTTCCAACACATCAAAGCCCTGAGAGCATCTCCTGGACCGATCCCAAACAATGAATCTGTTTGCACCTCCATCAAATTTCCCTGCCTCCCCGTCTGGTCCGGAGTCAAACCGCCCCGCGCAGAAGGTACATTCTGTGGGTGGAGAGCGTTCAGGAGGGTCCATTTGCCACGGTACTCGCCAGATGGCACCTTGTATCCAGTACCTTTCGCGTCGGCTTCGTCGAGGACACTGGTTCGATCGCCGTTTTGCCTGATATGTTCGTGAAGCGTGTTCGTAAAACGTCATGGCAAGTGATCACCTTACTCCCATCAATTTTCCTCATCAACTCCCAACCTTTAAGACCAGGAACGTCTTCCAGGCCGCAAATGGAACATCCGGTTGAAAGGACGTGCAGGATTCACTCGAACGTTAAAGGAATCATCGGCATCAGCGACAACGGCATCGCCTGCTGCCCGTCGAGACTCGATGTGGCCTTTACCTTTATGAACATTGAACGTACACTACGACTGAACAGCAGTAGCAGTCCAAATCACGAACCCCGTCTTTCGGTTTGATGTCCGTGCGGTCCCCTACTAATCGCTCAGATGGGGGCAGGAGGGGTGCCGGATGGACACATCCTCCGATGTTGGGCCCAGGGATTGCTGCGCTAACGACGTTGTTCACTGAGCCAACGCCGTGCTCTGACCTCGGAGCACAGCCCCCCCGTTCATCATTGACATTGAGCAGCCGTGACGCGATGGGCACCGTCCTCGGTAGCGCGTGGATGACGATGAACACTGTTTCACGTACCGCGGGTTTTGGAAGGGATAGCCGACTGATTATGATGGCGTGGACGTCTGCCTCTTCCAGTATCTGTTCCTTTGGAAGGAGTGGACCCAATTCGTGGCACCCGATGTTTCCTTAGTAGTATCGGTTGAGTCGTATGCATTAAATCATATTTGGTAAAACGTAAGCACTACTACAATTGCACCTGACAAATTGTTGGAGAAAGTAATGAATTTCCTCCCAGAACAAGCTTGACCCACCTACCATCACCAAAGTACACGCACTACTGCTGGATCGCGTACGAGATATTCCAGCATTCCGCGACGATACCCCCCCCGGACCTGTGGGAGTTTTGTCGCGATTTCCTATACCCTATGCATACCCCGAACGATATAAAAGTTCCACATGCATGCCTAGTGGGACTCAATACCCTAGGTGAGGGGGGGAAATGCGGGGAATACTAACAATAAATATCATACCTGAAAAAACGGAAAACTGGGGTAAAGAGTAATGTGCCGGGAACTATGTTTACCCGGCACCATGCATTGGAATACTCGCTACCCGGACTCTCCGTGAGTTCTGCGACGCTTTTTTCATCCCGCCCGACGTCACTGGGTTTATTACCACAAGCCTACCGGGAGCTTCCATCCGTGAGGTCTCGTACATCTGCCAAACACCATCCGTCCCATCCTGCCGGCCCCATCCCGTCCTGCCGATGATATGGCTTCAAAACTGATTGTATCATCCAATACCACCGCCTGGAAACCCACGGTACCCTCATATTGCACATTTGCACCCGTTTCTGAGCTCAACACCTTTCCCCTGCCCCTGGTGCCAGGTGGGCCTCTGATCGTAGGAACGCACGAACAACCGCCGGCACTGGCGCCAACCAAACGCTTTGCGTTGGAGGTTGGTCACACTACAAGTCGAGAAATGGCCCAGATTCGAAACGCGACGTTGATGATGTGATGCCGTACACGTAGCCGGCAGATGTTGTCCTGTCCTAATTCTCATTACAACATATTCAAAGTTATATCTCGTAAAGCGTGGAAAGCTAATTAGAGAGCTTCGGGACCCAGTCCTGCGCCCTGTGCACCTCAGAGCCGCTTACAGATTGTGGCAAAGTGGGGGTCTTAACGAAGCCCCCGCTGCGTGCGGGCCTCGTGCTATGGTGCCTACAAGATGTATCGTAGTCCGGGCGCCACACAAGCACCCGGTGCTAGCTCAGCGAAATCGCCAATCGGTGGGTAGGCGACTAGACCAGCTCGGTGTCCGTACCGCCCCATCTCGGGAGGTTGTTGTAGATCTGTGGCAGAGCGGGATTCGAGGGGTACATCAGCTCCAGCAGCTGCTGGTTCGTGAGGAAGTCTTCTCCGGGACCCAGGCCGATTGCCAACTCTGCTGGAACTGCGAAAAACAACAAGTGTCATCAGAAGATGTGTCTGGGGCGTTGGGGGGGGGGGGGGNCGCATGAAGGGTGAGCTGCATCCTGCTAAGGGTTTTCGGCATCTTGTACTTACTTCCTTGCGTACGGATGACAGCTGCGTATGACTTGATTTATTTTCTGGTGCTTTCACTTCCAGAGACAGTTGTAAGCACTGTGTAACTGCCTCTGGGAAGCTTGGCCATTTTATCACAACGTGGTGCGGACATCCCCCTTGCGCGGAGTGAGGGTTCTGTACCCCGCACAACATGATCTACTCGACCACCATTATGGTTACCGCCAAAAAAAAAACAGAGGTAAAAAAAACAAACGGTGACCTGGTTGCCGAGTTCACGAAGTGAATGGGCTTGTTTTACAACGTCGTTGCCAAGCGNGGGGGGGGGGGGGGGGGGGGCGTACTCATGTACTCATGTGTTGTATGCCTTGGTTTTTAGACCAATTGACTACGCGTCCTCAAGAGCACGAGCAATGTTTCCACAAGACGGACCACCGATGGCCACCCGTTCCTTCCCACCCTGCATGCCGGGAGGGGGTCGAAAACCGCAGCAGGGTGTCCGGATCATTGCCAAGCAATGTATTCCTTCATTCCTTTGGGCGCCTTCCGGTAGTAGCTCGTTGATGCGGCGGGCGTGAGATTCAAAACCCTTAAGACAGGAGAGGCCTGGAGAGTTGGGGGGGGGGCGCCGGTCGGGAGGACACTGATTCCCAGTAGCTCGTGCGAACCAAACGCCGCCGCCGTCGTCGTCGTCGGGACGGTGTCGAAACCCCTGGTTCTGCTACCGTAAGTCGTGACGGTGGCTTGTGGGTCGTAGTGCAGTTCGTGCGCCTTTTGGTCCCTCATTTCATAACGTTTGCGGACCGCGAGCGTGCAAACGCTGGCCTTCATCACGTGTCACTCGTCGAAGGCGGGAATTCAGGCGGCTGGGGATGCGCTTCTCGTCGCCATGTTGAGACGACCTGTCATGCACTACTTTATGTTCGGCAAGAAGAACGTACGAGTCTTCGGCTGTGTGGGCCTCACCCGTGATCGTGAGCTCTTCCGTGTAGCCGCTACCCTTGCACTCTCCATCGACCCACTCCATCGTGTAGTCGTCGTACTTGGGAGAGAGCAGCAAGATGTGCATCGCCTTCTCGAACAGCGGGTGCAAGACCCAAAACATCTTCAAATTCATGTTTTTCATACAACAAGGGCAGGCGGCGAAGGCGTGTCGGGAAGCCAAGCCCGGGTGATGGCGTTCAGGGGCAACGCGAAACGATCACACAGGAAGCGGGGATATGTCGCCGCAAACGCAAAGCGATGGCGTCGGCGAGGGAAGCGCAACGACATAATCCCCCCCCACAAACAGCGCGGCATCGTCAAAATTCAACATTCCTTCCAGGATTACCTATCCCGGAAAAACATTCGGCAAAGGAGTTATCTCTGCGATTTCGCGGAGTGGGACTACATTCATTTCGAAACGCGAACAAGTGAGAAAGATCCGTTGGCGCAGCACAAACAACAAAACTAAACGGCACTTCCCCGTAGGGGAGCGGGGCACAACAGACAGGAATACATGAACGCACCGGGTTAACCGGGCTAGCCGCCGTCGACATGATGCCCACCGCTCCGGGCTCGCACCCGATCTTGACCAGTGTTCTCATCAAGAACACCGCGTGTTCATCGCTCACGCGGTGGTCATCCTAGTGGGGCACAGAGGAGTAGGGGGAAAGCCGACCGCGATAAGCACAACCGATCGTCAGGGGCGAACGAGGCCCAAAAAAATATAAATATCCAGAGAACACGAAGCCTTTCTGGGGGACCAAACTCATGCGGGGGGACGCGCCAAACTACACGGAACCACCATGCTGCTGAAGAAGACAACTCTGTCGAGACGAAGCGCCTTCCAACCCTTGGCAGGGAAAGGAAAACCAACTGAACGCTCGTGTATTTTCTCGAGAACCCGTCGATGACGGTGGGCGAAAATCACGCCTCTCGCCCTCTCAACCGCAGTCTCGCGCGCGAGAGAGCGAAAGAGCGCTGAAACAACCAGTAGACTACGCAGGCGGGTCGTTACGCTGGACCCGAACAGAAACAATGTCTCCTGCCCGACACGTGTCCATGCGTGTTGGCAGAGTCGTGTCGTGTCAAAAGAAAGGGACAGGCTTCGACAGTCTCAACCAACAAGCCCAGCATCCGGCAGGTTATTTCTTGCCACTCAAAATATCCAAGAAATCCCTTGGATTGGGACATATTGTGTGTCGAACGGGCGCCAGTCCCTACTGTCGTTGTATGCTCTTAGAAATCACACTCGAAGTCACCGACTACACCCGCGTTCGAGATAGTGCCCGAATGCAAGGCATCCGCGTTGAAGGTCAACTGTTTGTAGAAAATGTGGGTTGCCCCCATCTAAGGCCAAACATTCGGGTTGAAAAATATTACATTTTGGAAAGTTTGATGATGCCATAGGCTGCGCTCCGCCGGTGGGCGGCTTCCCTACACCTGAATGAACCCGTAGGGGAACTTCGCTTCCTCGTCGTGAGTGATGTACAGGTAGCCTCTAAAGTAGGGCATGGCCGCTTGCATGAACGGCTGCATGTAGCCGCAAACCTGCGAAGGAAAATGCAGAGATGCGGGAGCGTGTATGTGCCGGGGGAAACCGCGCGCCACCAGTGGGATGGGGCCGCACAAGACGCAACATCTTGACCCCGGCAATGGCATTTAGATCGACTACCATCGATCGTGTTAGTTGTTAGGAATCGTGGGGCGCCCAGTATCTTCATGTGAGAGTCGTTTTGGGCTCCTGCTGACCCGTGTGCATTCTACCGCCAGCTGGTGTGGTATTGCGTGAGTGTGATCGTTGTGTCGCATGCAGAAAAAATCGCACGTTTTGTATTCTCAACCGCAATATTGCTGACGTATGTTCATTGGTCAGCCGGTTAGCGCGGGCGATGCGAATAACAAAAAGACGCACACGAAACTGACGGAATTTCATTGCTCAGCCGGTGTAGCGCGGTGGGTGCAAGGATCAAAGATAACACACACGCACGCTCTACCTGCTCCTCGGGGATGGAGGACGCATCCATCAGGCACGTGCATCCACACGGCTCCGTCTGCCCCCTCTCGTAGCTCACGTCGCAGACGTTGTCGTGGGGGGTGAGCGAGTTGCAGGCCGTGAACTTGAAGGTCAGGATCTGCAGGGCGAAGGCGAGCAGGCCGTGGGAGTACTCCGGGTGCTCCGCCGAAAAGTTCGCCACGTCCGTGTTGCAGTCGAATGCCCAGTCTAGATAACCGTGGATATCCCCGTGAGTCTTTCGCGGTGTGCGCAACGTGTGCGCGTAAGCATAAAAAATGAATGTTTGAGTTGAAGCTAAGGGGAGGGGGGAGGGGGTGTACTAATAGTCGTGCATGCCGTAGGCGTTAGGCCATTGACCTCGCATCCCGACAAAGCCGGGACGGAGCACGCCGGGTCCTCACCGGACCAGGCTCTCACATCACCAAGCGCGAAGCGCCGTGAGATATTCGAAGAGTTGCGTAAGGCCGGTCGCCTCGGTGGTCTAGTTGGTAACCTCGAAACCTTCTAGAGGTCGGGTCAAGGGTTCGAATCCCGGCGTAAGCGAGCTTTTCTTGCAAAGTGGGTTTTTCTCTCGCTTCCGCTCCTGGCCTAGTGGATAGCGCTAGTTCGTGTGTACACAGAGGAAAGAGAGTACTGAACTCTTCTCGCATTAAAAATCGAAGGCAAAGTACCGCAGGAGGGGAGGGTAGAGAGGGGCTCTTCTGTGTGACCACGGGTTGGAGTAAACGGCACTAGTGCCGTGAGCGCTGATTTGAAGTAAAGCCAAAAAATAAAAATAATGAAGGGTGAGCTGCATCCTGCTAAGGGTGTTCGGCATCTTGTGCTTACTTCCTTGCATACAGATGACAGCTGCGTATGACTTTAAAAATTTTCTGGTGCTTTCACTTCCAGAGACAGTTGTAAGCACTGTGTAACTGCCTCGAGGGTGCTTGACCATTTTAACACAACGTGGTGCGATCATCCCCCTTGCGCGGAGTGAGGGTTCTCGACCCCGCACAACATGATCTACTCGACCACCATTCATTATTGTTACCGCCAAAAAAACAACAGAGACCAAAAACAAACGGTAACTTGGTTGCCGAGTTCACGAAGTGAATTGGCTTGTTTTACAACGTTGTTGCCAAGCGACGAAAACCCAACCCCGATGGCAAACACTGGGGGGGAGGTGAGGGGGGAGGGGGGGCGAATCGAGCTTGCCCTGAGACCAGCTTTCTTCTGGGGAGTGCGATCACGCGGGGAGGACGTTCGCAACAGATCGGGCAACATGCTCTGGTCCAAACCCGACCTGTCCGGGGGACCCACCGGACAATAGTTTTGGAGCCGTGTGCTGCCGCGCCAGGACGAGGAGACAAAGGGGGAGGAGACTGACCGTTGCTGGCCATGCATACCCCCACAATATCTTCGAACAAGTTGACGATGTGCGTGGGAGGGGAGGGGGGGGTTCGACTCGATGAACGCAGCGCGCCAGAGGATCCTGCTCGACAATCGACGCACTCTGCTCACGAACACGACATAATGACCCCCCCCCACCCGGTAGCCTGATCCGGTGAGAACCCGGCGTGCTCCGTCCCGGCTT